CTAACAGCTGTTCAGCAGCCTACGCATGATGATATGGTAGCTCCCGTTGGAGAGGTGTCCAGGTGACAGTCACAGTTAGTTACCATCCCTGCTGGCAGTCTCAAGTAGCATAACGGAACAGTAAGACCTAGAGACCATAATAGCCTGTGTCTTCTAGACAGAAAGCGATTCCAGAACAGGACAACAAAAAGGTATTTCTGAAATTAGCAGTGTCTACCTAATGTGTAACAGGATGTCAATTTAAGGTGTAGTCAATAAAATATTTTTCATGAGAACTTGTGGTTTAACCCCAGCCAGCAGCCAAGCACTACACAGCCACTCTCTCACTCCCCCACCAGCGAGATCGGGGAGAGAATCAGAAGGGTAAAGTGAGAAAACTCATTGGTTGAGATAAAGACGATTTAATAGGGAAAGCAAAAGCCGTGCATGCAAGCAAAGCAAAGCAAGGAATTAATTCACCATTCCCATGGGCAGGCAGGTGTTCAGCCATCCCCAGGGAAGCAGGAGTCCATCACACCTAACAGTTATTCAGGAAGACAAATGCCATCACTCCAAACCTCCCCCCTCTTCCTCCTTCTTCCCCCAGTTTATGTACTGAGCCTGATGTCATATGAATATCCCTTTGGTCAGCTGGAGTCACCTGTCCCTCCTGTGTCCTCCCATACAGCCCCAGTCTCATCAGCATGGCAGTACAAAAAGCAGAAAAGGCCTTGACCCTGCATAAGCACTGGTCAGTAGAAACAAAAATATCTCATTATTATCAATGGTGTGTGCAGTACAAATACAAAACATAGCCCCATACTTGCCACTGTGAAGAAAACTAACTCCACCTCAGCCCAAACCAGGACTATTTGCATTTTGCATGGTTCCACGTAAAATCTTTGAGACACCTTTTTTTATTTATGCTAAGGGGTTTTTCTGCTAAACAAATTCCACAGATTGAAATGGCAGGCTGCAGAATCAGCCATTTAATATAACCTACCAGTATGTTATCATTACAATGTACTTATTTTGTACTCTGACAGCAAAAGAAATAATGAATTAGGAGATTGCCTCTTTCCATTCCTTCTTACTGTGAAAGAACTTGTACTTACAATGTAGAACTGTAGAGTTACGGGAAATATTTTGCATTTTGGAGGTTTATATTCTTTTTCCTACTACTATCATCATTTAGTCAGCATAAATTCTGGGCTTCATACCGCTCTCTTCCATACACAGTATTTAAAACAAGAGGGTCAATTTTCCAAGTACTATTCAGTTTTGCTGGTTCCTTTCAAAAAAACCCATTTGCTCAGCCTTAGAATTATTACCTTAACAGAACAGCATAGGGCTCTAATGATCTATTCCTTATGCTTACAAAACAGTATAAAATAAGGAAAACCAAAAGCTCATAACAGCCACAACTTTGCTAAAAGCTGAATCATATGTTGTTTAAAAAGTTACCATTTACATATAAAAAGCTCCTCAGTATTTACAGCAGAGTCAAGCGAATAAATGCACTAAAAAGTACTTCTGAATCAAAACTATGTTATTTAGATTCCTGATGTAGCATGCAGCTGTGATACCACAGAAAATTTCCTTACTCTTACCAAACTTTCTAACATGGTAAAATGCATATTCCAGTTACAAAGAAGAAAAAAATAATTCATTTTACCTTTACAATGTGAGGCATTCACTGTAGGTACTTCTCTCTGGTCTACTACTGTTCATTAAACAAGTGTGTGGGATGCATGTCTGGGATCCAAAAATGTCACAACTCCTTTAATTCTAAATTGTCATTGAAGGTGGCCACCCCCTACCAGGACAACCTTCTGAGGGTGTTTTTTCTTTTACTGATGCTTCTGCTAAGTAAGCTAACTAACTCCTTGTTGATGACACCAAGGACCATGAACAGCCTATTTCTACTACTTCATTTTTGTCTTCTCCTGTTGAGAGCCTACCAAATTAGACCATTTTTCTTCAGTTGAAGAATATTGCATTATATTTATCACTATAGCAACTAACTTAATTGATTTGATGCAGGTTTCTCTTCGACCATAGGATGGAGCCACTATCCCTAAGTATAATCTAAACATTTAAGAAAGAAAAAATTATCAGTTTATCATTTTACCACATCAATGGGAATATAATTGGGCTTCAGACATTAAAGTATAAATGACAACCTAATGGGCTGTACATGTACATCCAGAACATGCTTTATAAATACGCTTATCTGCAAGAGGAACTCAGAGTATCATGTTTACTGGTTGTTCTCAGTAATAGGGATGACTATTGTACAACAATTTCCAGAAACTAAGATTGACAAAGTAATTAGGAGGAGAAGCAATGTTCATATAACTGATTCAGGAATAAGATTTGTCATTCTAACAGTTTAGAAATGGATATAAGCAAGGTAGATCAAAAATTTTATTTACAGTGCTATAAAAAATGGAAAAATGGAAAAGTTCTAATTTTGTTTTTGAAGCTGCAGAGATTGATTGTAGTAAAGTGATACAGTGAGAGAGAATCCAATATGAGGTTAGTGTAATTAGTCTGATAATATATTCACCTTTATTGTTTTTTACAGAATGAATGCTGCTTGATATCAGAAATTTAAATAGCTATACTTCCATATACCTGAATATATTGTGTGTGGAAAAATACAGAATACCTTACATAGTCAAGTTTCTTCCTTTTACTTCTTTCCTTTTACTTTCTAAGAAATATGGCAAGCCTGTTATTTTTAAAACATTTTTAAAATCATCATGTCTCCCTCCACACCCAGTTATCCTTTTCTTCAAAAAAGGAATCAGATGAAAAAAGTCTGGTTAAACTTTAGCTGATTTTTAAAAGAATTCATAAAATCTTAAGTGCTACTTTAGCTAGAAACTGCTTCATTTTTTTTAATCTTGATTTTAAACACCTTCCCTCTTTCCACAGAGCAAAAAACATATTTTGCAATGTTTCAAATATTACTGCTAGAAAAAACGTTCATAGTGCTTCATTAACATTTGGAATTGCAGTTGTCAAATCAGTGAAGCATTACATAAATGGTAGAGTGTTTTGACACTGCATATTTTAAGCTGCATGATGCTTTTCAGTGCTATAAGAAATGAAGAGCGTACTACATGTTTGAGGAACACCATCTACGCTGGCTGAGAGAACTAATCAGAAACTGGTCCCTTAAGCACACCAGAAAATGCCTTCAGATTATCAGCCAACATTTGTATTGTACAGCATCAGTAAACAATGCAAAAAATAAACAATGCACAATATGTAATAATTCAAAGGGACAACTTCATTCCTTAGAACAAAACGTTGTCAAACCTCTCACTGCTGAACATAAAATGTTTTTAAGTGTCAGAGTTTATGGTTAACTCTTTCTGAGGCCATGCTAATAGAAAATATATGCAGAGAAGAACTCACATCGTCTCATAAAAAGCCTGGGACTCTCCAGGCATTTCTAGTACAAACTTAATAAAATATTTCTTATTACTAACATCCAGATGAATTCCCTTTACACTTAAACTACTCATCCTGTAATATGCACTCCCAGTATACACATAAATTCTTTTAAATCTCACTATGCTGTTTAGTATATCCTCTATATTAAGAGATTGAATATGGTATTATGAACAAAATTATATTATTATTTAAAAGTGTGGCCACTTTAATGTGATTTTTTTAATGAGAAGTGTAATGCAAAATGTGCTAAATTAAAAAACAATTACAAAATATGTTATTCTTTTTGGAATAAGCCATTTACACTGTCACCAGTATGAAGAGTCCTTGTAATATGCAAATAAAAGTGAATTACGGGTTCTCTTAACCAATTAAAATTTTGTTTCAGAAAAAAAGAACCAAACCAAAACACACAGAGAAATGTGAATATAATATAGTTGGAGGGAATGGAATATAGGGTTAAGAAATGCAGCAGTATGCTCCTGGAAAACAGCATCTATTTCCTATTCATCATAACCTACATCTATTACAGCTCAACAAGACAAGTCTACAAAATCTTTTATGCGACAGCTAATGAAATGAATACACACCATAGGTAAATTACAGACCTCTTCATCTTAGGTTGGGAAAATACACTGTAGATTCATTTTGGCAAAGCTGTGCAGGTTTCTCCTGATAAATTACATATTTTTTTATTATTGCATAGAAACAGTTTTGTCTATTCCCTTTGAAGCTTTCCCACTCTGGTACTATGGACTAACTTGCATTCAACAGAAGTATGGGCATTAACTCTATTTACATTATTTAACTGCTTGAAAATGATTCTTGCCAAGAGCAAAACAAACAAACAAAAAAACCTGTAAAAAATAGACCTTTAAAAGTATTATGTACTTGATTCTTACAGATACCTTATCCACAACCCAATGCGATTAATCGACAATCTATCAAGCCTGAAAAAAAATATACAAAACTCTGATAGCCCGAGATGAAGCTCTGAAACTGACAAAATGAACTAAACTGCTGAGGACATGCCAAGGAAGTGGTAGGATTTGTTCCAATGGAATTTCAGTCACAGAATCACATATGATCCCAGGGATGTTGACACCTCTCACTTGATTAAGTTTTTGCTTCCTAAAAGGATGAATATAAACAAAACAGCTCCTTTTCATGGACGATGGATGGAGTTAGGAGAGTGTATACATGGAGAGAGCAATCGGGGAGAAATCTGGTAACATCTGATAATAAACAGTGAACAGTGGATCACAGTTACTACCGCTACAAAGTTTGTTTCTAAAATCCAAGAGATGTTACTGTTTGGACTGGAAATGCCACATCTACAACCTAAGGACATCTCATTCTCCTGAGAAGCAGCAGTACTAAAGTACTGGTCTAACTGCTTTACCATAAGGAACTGAGGAGAGACGTGTTGAGGGGCAAGTCTAAGACAAAGTACCTATGCCTGCCAGCTTCAGAGCTTGGCCTTTGCCAGAAGCATTCCCTCAGGTGGGAAGGGCGTAGACCTATGCCCAGCAAACGCACCACAACAAATATGTACTTACTGCAGTAAGCGATTAGGAGACTGGCCAGGATCATGATAGCCCAGAAAGTTGAAGACATGCTTGGCAAGGTGTTGGCATCTTTCCTACTGCTTCTCCTGGGAGATGGAGCCATTGAAGCCACTTCCCCGGTGGGGGGGAAAGTCAGACAGTTTCACCAGCCAGCTCTCCCCTTGACTGATGGGCTTTCTCCAGGTGTAATCCTCAAGGAAGGCATCTTCCAACGACCCTGCGGTTTATCATCAGCGACATGGTTCTGTTGCAGGAATCATCTTCCAGCCAGAAAGCCACGATGACTCTGACACCTGCGATACTTGGGCGCAGTGGCCACTGCCAGCTTTCTTCTTGCCACTGTGGTGGGATTCACTGGCGTGGAGGGTTTCACTGCGGCTTGGACGCCACGCGTGCTGCTGAGCTTCGAAGATGTCCCACGAACGACCCTCCTTTTACTTTTTTTTTCCCTCTCCTTTCCTTTTTTAATTTGCAGAAGTTGTTCCGCTTGTTGTCCTCTCCCGCTCTCCGCGCCCGGGGTCACCCCGCCGGTGGGCTTGCGGCCCTGGCGGTGCTGACGCGGGCCTCGCCCGCCCGCCCGCCGCTTTCTATGGGCGACCCCCGTCAGGCGTGCCGCCGCCCAGCGCAGGGCAGATGTCCGGGGCCGCCGCCGCCGAGGGCGAGGGCAGACCGGGCCACCGCCGCCGCCCGGGCAAGTGCTGGCGGGCAGTTCCGCGGGCGAAGGCGATCCGCGCCAGGCAAGCGCCCCGGGGGAGCGGGGGCGCCGGTGCCCGCCAGCTCCGAGAGCAGCGGCGGAGCGCGGACAGCCCCGTCCCCCCCGCCCAGTCAGCCTGAGCTCCCCTCCCAGGGGACCAGCCGGTCCTGCGGCTCGACGTGCGAGAGGTTGCCGGGACGACTCAGGTGGAGGGTCGCGGTGCAGGTTTTCTCCGCTCCGTGCGCCGCCGCTCTGCTCTCAGGTTCTGCAGCTACAGCAGCGCCGGCCCTTCAAGTAACCAGAAGCAGGAGGAGGAGGAGGGGGCCGGCGGTCACGCCCACAGGTGCACAGCGCTCGGAGCACAGCAGTCCTTCCCCCGCTCCGCTCCGCTCCGCCAGCGTGTCCCCGCCGGAGGAGGGCCCCGGCCAACCGGGTCCCGCATCGCCCCGGCCCCTCTCCGGCCCCGCTCCGGCCCCGCTCCAGCCCCCGCCCCCTGCTCGCGGGGCGTGCCGGCGCCCGGCGGGTTGTGGGGAGGGAGGGACCGCGGGGGGACTGTTCCCGCAGCGGCGGCTCCCGGCCCCGAGGGGCAGGCGGTGGGCTGGGGCTGCCGAAGGGCGGGAGGGCGAGCCCGGTGGCTCAGCGGGGGCAGAGCAGGGTCCGGCCCCCAGCCCAGGGAACTCTCCGCCCCCTCACCTGCACGGTGCGGCTCGAAGTCTCCACGGTGCATCCCGCCTAGACACGACCATGGGTGTAAAAGGAAACAATTTCTCTTTCTGTAACCATCTGCAGTCCTTACGGATCCTTATGGGGACATGGGTTTCTCTCACTGAAATGGCAGCGACACATCAATATGAAACCCAGTTTAGAGGGCTTGAGTTTACATATCTGCCAGTAGCCCTTACGGTAATAATAAAAAACTTAAATGTTTTAGGAGGGACCAGGTAGTTGAGCTTTTCCATAGCAATGTCTTCAAATTAATATTTTAAGTTCTGCAGAAGGTAGTCATGTTCCAAGTACAGGCAGACTTGGCAAGACTAGAAGAGGAGCTTGGTCACAAAATGTCCCCATTGTCTCCTCCTTTGTTTTACTTGCATAATGAAAATACCATGAAAAAGCTGTTCCATATTCCTTCAGAAGTCCAGGTTTGTCTGATTTTTTGCCTCTTAAATATCTGGACTTAAAATTGCATATGAATAATGCAATATTTACAAGACAAAACTGTAGGGACTTTTTAAATACAGCTATACTTGACTAGATACTTATAACTAAGTTCATTTTTGCACCATGAGGACACTGACAATGTAATCTCTTTGATTTTAGAGAAGATTTTCTACCAGACTAGTTTCATCCTGAACTAGTAGGGCAATAGGTTTATGTTTTCAAACATGCTTCACAGAGATGCAGCTTTAACTATCATTTGGGTGCAACTACATTTGGGTACCAGAACACCTCTCAAGATGTGACTTTCTTTTCCCTTATTTTCATGGGAATTTCTTTTCTATTATATTTAAGAACTGGAATAAAACAAAACGTAAACATTAAGACAACATGCTAAGCTGTATTCTTCTCCCTCATATCGTTTAAAAGAACATTTCATTATTACTTTGTATGTAGAGAATAAATCTTTGTAACACCTTCTATCCCTGACTTAGACACTATATTTTCTCTATAAGTCAATATAAATTGCATATGTCCTTTCGAATCCTGAAGTATTACTTCAGTTTGATATTACAAAGTTCTGTTGCATCATGAGTTTTTTTAAAAAATAGGACTTTCAAAATTCCTAGTCTCAGAATAAATGTAAATAAGTGTTAAGCAACAAAAATACCTTGGTGTGACATGCTGCTGTTCACTGCAATTCCAGGGCTAACATGTAAATTAATCAGTTTTCTGTATGTATGAAAAAAAAAATATTTCCATTACAGATGTGAGTAATGAATGTACAGTTGAATAGCATAATTTAAATATTACTAAAAAGAAAAAGCATAAGTATCTTGAAAAGAGATATATAGTATAATGTATAGATTGGGAGACTTTAAAGCCACAAGGAATATCTGCAGCGGTATATAGGACACTATACCTTTCAGTAGAGTGCACAGAATTTTATATAGTAAATCTTAGAGTTTACCCAAGAAGTTGTGGTTATACAAGAGGATTTCCCTTGGAAATACATCCAGCTTTCAGTCTGAGGAGTGGGAGTCATGATTACTGTTCACCTAAATAAAGCTTGAAGACTGATGTAGAAGCTGAAGTCTTGCTTTGATAATTCTGAAAGCTGACATTGTTCACTTGAAACCAGGTTAATTCCCATGTCAGAAAACTACTCAGTTACTCAGAAAGTAAGGTACCACTCACTGGAAACAGGAACCACCAAGCTGGGGCCTTTGTGTTTCTAAACAACTACCTGTAATTGTTTTACATGGGGCATTTTATATTAAGAAAGATTTTCAAACATTGCATTCTGATTTGATTGTCAAAGACAAGATAAGACTTAAAGTCTCTCTTAAAATGTAATTTTAGGTCACTGCTGATTTGTTCTGTAAGTATATGTTGATCCCCAGTAACAGCTTGGCTGTTCTGCACTGTCTTATATGGAAAAGTATTTGACACTACTCACGGAGTAAAGTCTTACTCAATGAAAAAGTGGCAGAATGTGATCTCAAATTAATTTGCTTGCCTCTTTCTTGACATGTCCCACTCACATTGATTTTCAAGGAAAATGTGTGAAGTCTGTCTTCAATGCCTCCCTCATCTCCCAGGAAATTCCCAGTATTCAGACCTCTATGTACAGAAAGGTAGAAACAATGATTAAAATCAGGGACAGATGTCTGAAAGCTGAAAATAAAATAGAAACCCAAGGTAAAAGCTGTATATCAAAGTGAAATACCCTTTTCAGAAATCAGATTTGTTCTTTGTCAAAGACACAGATCTCTCATTGCCATTGCTGTTGGAAGAGGTAATATTTACAAGGAAATTAAAATAATATTTAAGCTATTTATTAAGATAGGCTGTGCCATTGCTCTAACTGAAATTATAAGCAAAATGTATCTATTGACTTAGAAACAAGCATAGTTTGAAACCTGATGTAGCAATGTGTCAGAGTTTGTTCATGATGTGTATATGCATCGCTGCTTTCTGCTAGAATGTCAGACCTGTAAAGCCTGTGTAGTGATGTTGACCTCTATTACAGATGCAACGTACAGAGGATAAATTTTAACATTCATTTAGCATCAAGGATGTACATGAGAGAGGGTAGATAATGTTCCTCAGGTCTTTGCAGAGACACTTTCCGTTCTTTCCGAGTTTGCTTATTTACTTTGAAAATAAAAGGATTAGGTAAATAGTGAGTAAATTCTGCAGCAGTGCACTGATTTAATGTACTTCGTAAAGAATTAACAACCAAAAACATTCAAGCCAACAACTGAGTTTTTGCTTTAGATAGAGTATAATTATTCAATTGGTTCTAAATGTTGATGTCAAGGAAAGAACAGGATAATATCTGACGTTATTGTTTACATCTGTTAATTTTGAGATAAATGTCAGTAAAATAGATGTAAAAGAATAGCAGCAGTTAAAACTTCTTTTTTACAATGTTAAAAACATGAATTACATACTAGAGCTATGTAATATAAACTTGTTTTATCTCAACAGCATTTTCAAGGGAAAAGCAGTGGAGCTTAATACTAAGAAAGTAAGGACTTTGTTTATTTAATCATTTATCTTTTCAACAAATTAAATGACTCTGTATGTCTAACAATCCATAGCACCTCTTTAACAACCATAGCAAGTATTAGAAAAAAAAAGAAGAGAATTGCAATTTTCTCTATCTTCCTTGAGAAGAAGGGACCAGTGGAGACCAGTCAGGGGATGCAGATTCATGGTTAAAAAATAGCAATGATTTTAGTTAGATTTTATGAGAAGATTTTGTGTCTATATTTACTGATCTTAGGCCATCCTTGGAAAAAATGTTCTAACTAGACTCATAACTCAATGATTTTTTTTAAAATACCTTCTTTAGTGCCCGTAATATTGACCATCTCTTTAGTAGGGAAGTTTTTGCTATTGGTTTGCATGAAGCAGAAAATAAGTATTTCTGACAAAGAAAGAGAAAAGAAGGAGAGACTGAGTGTGTAGATGGCTGATATCATTGTGAAATTATAATTTGGAGAGTTCAGTCCTTCAACAACAGAAATGATATTTGAGTGTAAACAGCAGTGAACTGCATGTGTCTGAAACTATGGGATAAGAAACTTAGTTCCCAGCCACTATTTCAGTAAAAGTCTTTATTTACAGAGTACTTTAAAAATTTGTGAGAGATGTTTTGATATGTGTTCATGCAACGAGCTTTTTAAGGTCGGTAACAGTAAGGTCCTTAAGAAAAATCCTCCTAATGCATAGTCAAAATATATTTAGAGGGAAACTGTTGACCGCTCAGTGACCAAAGCCAAGTCATGTTGCTTTATGTCACTGTATTGTCTACATGCCAGGTGCTCTCACCAATAAGTGCTTTTGTTGGTTTTTACAAACACGTAACTGCAGCCTGTTACTTGTAGGCTGTGCCTTTTCACTGATCCTTCTGTAACAGATTCAAGCTACTAGTTAGTAGTGGTTTTTTTGTTTTTCTAGACAATATTAGTTTAGCTGGGGTTTTTTTCTAACTTTAATTGCCCATCAGTGACATTATAGATATTGTTTGATATAGATACAGTTTGAAAAGTTGTATGTGGTTTTGATTTAACATAAAAGCTTTCATAAGTTATAGGAAATCGTCACCCCAT